TAAAAAAAAAAAAAAAAAAAAAAAAACCCCCCCCGCCATTTCCACAGTATTCACTTGCCCTACTATTTCAGGAACCTCTTGAGTGAAAACTCGAAATTTTAAATTCTAAGAAAAATTATACCAAAAAAACATCAAATCTGCAAAACAAACAGGGCTTCGTGCGTTGTGGGCCCAATAAAGGTAAAGGCTTGCCACGTGTATTGTTAAATATGACGTCATTATAATATAATTTAATGAAACGGAAAAAAATGCTTTCGTTGAGAGTCGAACTCAAGACCTCCCGCTTACTAAACGGGTGCTCTAACCAACTGAGCTACGAAAGCTAGATGACTAATTCAATATTATAATTGAATTTTTGTGTTTTTAAGATTTCATTTATTAAAAAAATTCCAAATCAAACAAAATGCGAAGCAGAATTGCGTGTTAACCAAAATAGAAGAAATTGTGGGCATTAACATGCAATGTATAGCATGCAAATTCATTTTTCTTTCTATATTATCTAGCAAAATTAAAAGAAAAATTGATACCGAAAAAAGAAGTAAATCCATTCATAATTACTAGATAAAGGTTATCTTTTCCTTTTCTTTTCCTTTTTGGTTTATATACAATATTATATTAGTAAAATAAATAAATACTAGTCAGGATTCAAATACAAATTAAATGCAGGATATTATGTAAATTCAATTTTCTTTCTATGTTATCTAGCAAAAATAAAAAAAGAAAAATTTATACTTAAAAAAGAAAGAAATCCACTCATAATTAGTAGATAGATAAAGGTTATCTTTTCCTTTTCTTTCCTTTTTGGTTTATTGACAATACTATATTAGTAAAAAATAAATACTGGTCAGAATTCAAATTCAAATTAAATTCAGTATATAGTATGTGAATTCAATTTTCTTTCTATGTTATCTAGCAAAATTGAAAAAGAAAGACTGATACTTAAAAAAGAAGCAAACCCATTCATAATTACCAGATAAAGGTTATCCTTTTCGGGGTTATTGACAATATTACATTAGTGAAAAAATAAATACTGGTCAGAATTCAAATTCAAATTGAAAACAGTATCTTATGGGCTTTATTAGGACATGAACTGCATTTATGGCTCACAAGTTTTCTATGTTTGGAGATCTCACGGCCGGTGATTAATGTTATTATTAGGACATAAATCTAGCCAGATTTGTTTATTTGTAGGGGCGGTCAAGATATGTTTGCTTGCAGGGGAGATTTTCTTTCTCACATAATGGCTTTTACTATGAAAGTCAAATTTTTATTAAGTATGTAAATCTTATATTTTATTAAAATTTTAAAATATTTTTCTATTTATAGAAAACCAAAATTTATCCTATATGAACTTACAATCCCCCTTGGATATGTATGGTGAAATATGATGATGGGTCTATGAGTGTTAAAAAAGTATGAGGTCCGTTGTTCGGTCCGAATCCGACTCGAAAATCAATAGGTTTGAGTCTGAATAATTAGAGCTCGATCATTCATCGGGTCGGGGCTGACCCAGTCCGGAAAATGCAGGCTAAAATACGGGTTCGGGTCGGACCGGTCTGACCCGGCCCGTCGATTTGATAAAATTTAATTACATAATCTAAAAATATATATAGATAGTGATATTTACATACATACATAAATATATAAACATATTCATCCACTAACTCATATATATATAATATAGAATTATAAAAAATGAAAAACTTACTTAATAAATAACATATTGTATATAAAATTATAATATCATTAGTATTGAATATTTATTAGGATTAAAAATATAACAATTTAATATTTAAATAAATTTTTTTATTATATAAAAATTGAAAATTTTGAGTTTTAATTTTTCTTAAATCAAAAAATATATATTAATAAACGTTTTTATTAATATATATATATATATATATATTATTTTTTATGTAGATGATTTTTTATATATATTTTTATAGTTTATTTTTTGTTTGTTCATTTTTTTTTTTTTGAAAGTTCAAGTTCGAAACCCGACCCGAACCCGGAAAAAACCCATAGGGTCGGGCTTCGGATCTAAAATTTTAAATCCGTATATGTTTTGGATCGGGCCAGTCCAGCCCGCAATTCTCCGGATTTATGTCAGGTTCGGCGGATCGACCCTACCATTTTGACACCCCTAGATGGGCCAAAATAAATTAAGATAAATATATGAATCGGTCCATAATATACAAAGAACCTATTAAACACCGTAAGCCCGGGTTATTAAAAAAATGGAGGCCCAATAAAAGGATACAGTCGAACTCAAGTCAATTGAATTTAGAATGGTATAAAAATTAAATTGCTATAATTTTTAAAAAATGGAAGAATTTGAATTTGGACGGAATATAAAAATAACTGAACGAAATTAAAATTTTAAAAAGATGTCATTTATATTAATAGAATTGAGTCCAACATAACCGAATTGAATTACATATAAAAAGTAGATAGATATTAAAATTTTCAAAAATAAAAAATAACCGATTTGAGTCCAGAAAAATCTGAAAAATTTCATCTAAACTAAACCGAACTAAACGACACAAAAAATACAAAAAAATAAAAATAAGAGTGATAAACTCATCGTGTACTAATAATAAAACACAAGATAAATCAAACCGGGCAATTCCAATGTTCAAACTAAACCAGTTATAACTTGGTAACATAAAAATATAACCGAAATTTAATTAAAATATAATGGGAAATAGGTATTTTTTGTTTTATAATTTGGCAACGATCATATGGCATGTTTCGGCTAATTCAAGACAACCTGAGGACTCGTCAAGAGTCGCCATCGAATGGACAAATAATTAGTTAAACATCATTGTTGCAATGTTGCATTGAAGAGAAAGAGAAACACCGCACAATTTTCATGAACGTTTTAAGCATAATAGGAATGCCAGTTTTGCTCATAAATCCAAATTACCCGAAAAATATCGGATTTCGAATCTAATTTTGTAATCATAGAAAATTTCAAACTTTCAAACCAAATCAGATTTCAGACCGACTCAAAAATCCGATTTAATTGTTTTATAAAAAAATACAAAAAAAATATTATTGTACAAAAAAGTATTAAACGGACGAGTACGATGTAACCCGACTTGAATTTGAATCCAAATCCTATAAAATCAAATTTCAGATTTGGTTTATAGATTCAAACAATTCGGATCAATCCGAATTCGAATCCAAAATTATCAGGTTGAACCCGTGGAGTAAGAACCATACTAACAATTTTTATAATTAGTAAAAAAATATAGAATATTATTGAACATACCCACTTTTTTATTATATTTTAAAATCAGACTCTAGTATATAAAACTGAATCTAACAATTTATAAAAAAAAATTAAATCCGATGCGCCAATTTAGCAGAATCGCATTTATATTGTATCCCGACACGTATCCCTTTATCCTTAAAAACATTTATTTAAAACCCAATTAATATGGAATAATCGAATTAATTATTACAAAGCCGAGTGGGGAGCACGATGATTAAACCAATATCCCTTTTTTTTTAATCTTTTTTGTTTTATTTTTAGTCCACGTGTTAATTCGTAATTGGTTTAATATTTCTTCTTTACATTACAATATTTATGCTTAAATAAAACCAACCTTGGGAATTGAATGTAAATATAAAACCAGTAATAGTTTAAAAGCATTTATATGACAAAAGGGATGCATGTAAATATAACTCGACAGTAATCACAAATATTAGCCACGCATATAAATAATAACTCCCATCCATGATATGGACATGCATGCATATTTATATATATAATATGGCCACGCATATAAATAATAAATTTGAGAACAAAAAACCAAGAAAGTTACAAAAGAACGGAATTCCCGTGTGCTGTACAATTAATTATAATAATTATTTTTTGATAACGGAACCAGCCGTATTATAAAATGAAAAATAAATAAATAAATAAATAATTGGACGCAATCATTGGAGGAGGTGGAGGAGCGCATATAAAACGTCGTCGTATAGGCCTTCGTCGTCAACCCAAGCGGCTTCGTTCTCTGACTCATCTCGTCGCCATCGCTTTATTCTATCAACTCTCCTCTCTCCAGAGCCAATCTCTCTCCATCTCTTTCTTTCTCTCTGGTTGACCCAGAAAATTTCTCTTACAGACGCACGGATCTCTTCTCGAATCTGCGAGATCGGTTCATTTCGCACATCAGTTGAACAAGATCCAAAGGTAAATTCCCTTCTCTAGGGTTTCGGATTGTGCTTTGCTCTGGTTCTCAGATTCTCATCCGATCCAGCCTGATTTCGGATCAGAAGCTTTCGTTTCGGATCTAGTAGTCTGTGCGCACGTTTCCGTGTCTCCGAGTTGGCGTATGCTCTGTCTGCTGATCTGGTTTGGTTGTGTTTCCGAGTATATATTTTGCTGATTTGAAATGTCGTTGCTCAAAGACGACTCGATTCTGATTCGTGAGGTTTGGAACGACAACCTTGAGGAAGAATTCGCGTTGATCCGTGATGTTGTCGTTACCTGCAGCTACGTAGCCATGGATACCGAGTTTCCTGGTGTGGTTTTACGCCCTCTCGGGCCTTTTAAGAACATCTCGGAGTATAACTATAAGACACTCAAGGAAAACGTCGATATGCTGAAACTGATCCAACTCGGGCTTACTTTTTCTGATGAAGATGGGAATCTTCCCACTTGTGGGACAGATAAGTTCTGCATCTGGCAGTTCAATTTCCGCGAGTTCAATCCCAGCGAGGACATCTACGTGAACGAATCGATCGACCTGTTGCACCAGTGTGGGATCGATTTCAAGAAGAACAACGAGAAGGGGATCGACGTGAAACGCTTCGGCGAGCTTCTGATGTCGTCTGGGGTTGTTTTGAACGATGCCATGCGCTGGGTGACCTTCCACAGTGGATACGATTTCGGGTATCTGCTGAAGCTGTTGACTTGCAAGGCTTTGCCAGTGAATCAGATCGAATTCTTCACTCTCCTAAACATTTACTTCCCCGTGATTTACGACATCAAGCATATGATGAAGTTCTGCAACAACCTCCATGGCGGGCTGAGCAAGCTGGCAGAGCTGTTGGAGGTGGAGAGAGTCGGGGTTTCCCATCAGGCCGGGTCAGATAGTTTGCTGACATGGTGCACGTTTAGGAAGCTGAAGGAGAGCTTTTTCAAGGGCTCGATGAAGAAGTATGCCGGAGTCTTGTACGGTCTAGGCGTCGAGAACGGTCAGAATGCTTCTGCTAACTGAAAGAAGAATAGAGAGTTCCTCAAGTGTCTGTGAGTGAATACAAGACAATAGGTCATGTTGATTGTATACATTGGCAAAGAATATGATTGGGTTAGTTGTGATTGCGTCTGTGTTTTGTTTCAGAAAAGAATAGAAAAACCTCTGATCAAATTGGGGGGTTTTGTAGATTGAGAGTCTCTGAATGTATATCAATGCAGCCTAGTGTTTTCAATAAACTTTGTCTCAATGTTCTGTTCCAAGAGACACAACCTCACATGGAACTTGTTGGAGTTTTTTTTTTAAACCTGGTTTGATCTGACAGGTAATGAACTTAGGCTCAAGAATCTGGAGTGGATAATAACAGAGGAAACATTCTTTTGTTATTGGTATTTAGTTTAGTTGATGAGAAGAAGATTAACAGAAGGGGAAACATGGGGAGTGGGTGTTTTGGATACCGGTTTGGTTTGAGAGCGGGTTACTCGATTCTATACCAAACTAAACAACAACAACATCACCTTAATTCTAAATTTATTTGGGGTCGGCCGCATGAATTCTTATTTTCCATTCATTCTGGTTTTGCGTTATATTCTCCGATATTTGCAATATATCCAAGTCATTTCTAATGACTCTATCCCAAATAAGTCTAGGTCTACCCATTCCTCGTTTCTTCACTTTCATCCTTATACTCTCTAATTTTCTAACCGGAACGTACAGCGGTCTACGTTTTACGTGTTCAAACCACCTTAAATGTCCCTCACGTATTTTCTCTTATATGGTTATGACTTCTAGTTTCTCTCTAATACTCTCATTTCGAATTCGGTCTATTCGTGTATGTCCGCACATCCATCGCAACACCTTCATCTCGATCACACATATTTTGGACACATGTTGTTTCGCCGTCCAACACTCACTGCCATACATCAAATTCTATACCAAACTAAAATTGAATGTCAATTGGTTCGGTTTTAATGTTCGGTGCACGGTTTTGTTATATGAATACCAAATAAGAAACGAAAATTGATATTTACACATACTAATGTACATGGCAGCGAATAATTTGGTTTTTTTGTTCAGTATTTACCGGGTCCAGTCGGGTTTTTATCGAGGGTTCGGTTTGACAATAATTTATTTGATTTTTATCAAATTAAAATCAAATATTATTTAGTTTGGTTTGGTCCGGTTTCGAACGGAGGAGTCCAACTCCTAAGAAATGGGCAATGATGGATTTTCTTCGTGAAGCTATTGGTGAAAAAGAAGAAGAAAGAGTTGTGGGTATTAGGGATGACTAAATATGTAATTGAATCAAATTCGATATAAAAAATCAAATAGTTGTATATAAACCGAACCGGTACATAACTCTAACTGAATCGGAACAGAAAATCGAATTCAATATAAAAACCCGAATGCAACATAAAAAAAAAAATTAACGATAAAAGCTGAATCTAAATCAAATCTTGAAGTGAAATTGAATCGAATGTGATACAAAAATCTAATTACAACAATGCAGGACTCCAAGGATAATTGTAGCTGAGGTCCAATTTTACAATTTATAAATTAAATTAAATTAAAAATAAGGGCAGGATTTCAACTTAATTACAAAAGTACCACTCCATTGGCAAGCTCGCGGCTTTTCCGTCTACTGTTCTCCTCCCCGAGAACCTACCTACGAAGGAGTCCTCTTTTTCAACGAATTACAGAGCACAGACTCGGTGACCGCGACTCAGTTTCTTCCCGCCGAGTTGCGCCTATACTCGACTCGCTCGTTTTCTTCCTCCCACGAATCTCTCGATCAGGTCAGTTCTTTCTCTTCGTCGTCCTTCGAGTTCTCTGTAATTCCGGATCTAGGCTCCACCCCGGATCGGTTCCCTCTCGGATCCAACCCGATCCCGAACCATGTGCGATCGAAGACCCGTTTTCCTCGGGTGCTTCATATTCGGATTCCTCATTTTCTTCGTACACGCGGATCAGGGATGCTCCAACACGAGCTCCTTGGTCGGGTTCGAGTCCGAATTCATCATGTTACAGCACCAACTGCGAGGCGTTTTCACCATCGTCGATGATTGCTCGTTTAGGGTTTCTCGTTTCGATATGTTGTCTGGTTCGGATATTTATTGGTGGGGAGCTTTGGCTTCTGATTTTGAGAATATGACCAATGGGTTTGTAATTTCTGACCAGAAACTCAATCAAACGTTCAGAAATGCTTCTTTCGCCGTTCATTTACGGGAAAATGTCACCTGGGACAAGATAAGGGTGATCTCGGTATGGGATTTGCCTACAGCCTCGGATTTTGGGCATGTTCTGCTTTCAAATGTCACAGAATCAGATTCGAGTCAAAACCCCGGATCCCCTCCCTCTGGAGACGATGATGTTTTGGAGGGATCAAATAGCACTGCGACCACTAGGGTTCCTACCATGTTTGGTAATTGCAAACAACTTTCGAGCAAGTACAGGCTCCGGTGGAGCTTGAATGCAGAAGAGGGTTATGTTGATATTGGTTTAGAAGCAATTTCTGGCTTCCTGAGCTACATGGGATTTGGTTGGGCAAAACCCAATTCTACATCAGAGCTGATGTTGGGTGCTGACATTGTGATTACCGGGTTTAGAGAGGATGGGTTTCCATTTGCTGATGATTTTTACATCACGAAGTACAGCGAGTGCTCGGTTAAGAATGGTACTGCCTCTGGGGTTTGCCCCGATGCAGTGTATGAAGGATCAGATTCAGTTGCTCCCTCAGTGAATAACACGAAGCTGGTTTACGGGCACAGGAGAGATGGAGTTTCATTTGTTAGGTATAGGAGACCATTGAACGGCAGTGATAGCAAGTACGATTTGCCTGTGAATCCAACTGAGAGCATGATTGTGATTTGGGCGCTTGGGTTAATAAAGCCACCGGATAGTATCAATCCTTACTATCTCCCTCAGAATCATGGCGGTGTGGAATCAGAAACCTACGGGCATTTTTTGCTCAATCTTTCGGAGCATGTGGATGAGTGTTTGGGACCGTTGGATGCAGACAATAAGGACGTTCAGGATCTAATCATTGCTGACGCCAATGCACCTCTTGTTGTCACAGCCGGACCGGCTGTGCGTTATCCAAACCCTCCAAACCCTTCGACAGTACTGTATATTAACAAGAAAGAAGCACCGCTGTTGAGAGTGGAAAGAGGAGTTCCTGTGAAATTCTCTGTACAAGCAGGGCATGGTGTTTCTTTTTACATAACATCAGATTTTCTCGGTGGGAATGCTACTCTAAGGAACAAATCTGAAACAATCTATGCTGGTGGGCAAGAAGCTCATGGAGTGCTAGCAAGTCCATTGGAGCTGGTTTGGGCTCCAAACAGGAATACACCTGACCAAGTATATTACCACTCTGTTTTCAAGCAGAAAATGGGTTGGAAGGTTCAGGTTGTCGATGGGGGTCTCTCGGATATGTATAATAACAGTGTTATCTTAGATGATCAGCAAGTTAAGTTCTTTTGGACCATATCGGGGGATTCAATATCAATTGCAGCTCAAGGTGAGAAGAAAAGTGGGTATCTTGCAATTGGTTTTGGTTCTGGAATGGTGAATAGCTACGCTTATGTGGGCTGGTTTGATAGCAACGGAACAGGGCGTGTCAGTACTTACTGGATTGATGGACAGGATGCGTCTAGCGTGCACCCAACAAACGAGAACTTGAAATACGTGAGATGCAAATCTGAAGACGGAATTATCACTTTGGAGTTTACCCGCCCCCTGAAGCCTTCATGCCTTCATAGAGGCAGACCTGAGTGTAAGAATCTGATAGATCCCACAACTCCTCTTAAAGTGATATGGGCAATGGGTGCAAAATGGACAGATGAACAGCTGACCGAGAGGAATATGCACTCGGTTACTAGTCAGAGGCCCGTCCTTGTAATGTTAATGCGAGGGTCTGCAGAAGCAGAGCAAGATCTACTACCTGTCTTGGGCGTGCATGGATTCATGATGTTTCTTGCTTGGGGAATCTTACTCCCCGGCGGGATATTAGCCGCTAGATATCTAAAACACATAAAAGGTGATTGGTGGTTCAAGACTCATGTATATCTTCAGTACTCTGGTTTAGCCATTGTCTTCCTCGGCCTCCTCTTTGCCGTGGCTGAGCTTCACGGTCTCACCTTCAGCTCAATGCATGTCAAGTTCGGGTTTGCAGCCATATTTCTGGCCTGCGCTCAGCCCGTGAATGCTTTCCTGAGACCTTCAAAACCCGCTCAAGTGGAAGGATTCTCTTCCAAGAGACTACTGTGGGAGTATTCTCATGCTATCGTGGGTCAATCCGCCGTTGTATTGGGAGTCATCGCCCTTTTCACGGGGATGAAACACTTGGGAGAACGTTACGAGGCAGAAAACGTGCACGGGCTGAACTGGGCACTCGGGTTATGGATCTTCCTGGGGGGAGTAGCTGTTGTGTACTTAGAATACCGGGAAAGAGGCAGAAGGAGAGCAAGAAATATCGGCAGAGGCAGCTGGGTTCTTGGGAATAACCTGGAAGAGGATGATTCGGCTGATCTAATTGATCCGAGAAGAGCTTTTAGAGAGAGAGAGGAAGAAGATGGAAGGGGGGCAACAATGGAAGTTCAGTTAGAGCCTTTGAACAGGTGATAGATATGATAGTTTTCTGGTACAAACTCTTGTCCTTTTTCTTCTTCTTGAAGCTCATTTTTGCTGGTCGCAGAGCAGAAATTACCAAATTTTTTTTCCTTCTAATATCACCAAACGAGGAAACGTAGAGAGAAAGGGGGAGAGGTGTTGTTATACGCAACAGAACATAGTCCATACTGTATCTATTAGGCTTCAACCATATGCATCTCTCTCTCTCTCTCTCTCTCTCTCTCTCTCTTGTATGCATCCATACTTCCATCTTTGGGCATATGACGTTGAGATGATCTCATACTTTATTTTATTTTCTTTAATCAAATTCCAAGGCTAACTCGCATTTGAATGTTTTGATGTTGCTATTTACTTGTATTGCAATTTGTGCCTCCAAAAACATAATATATATATATATATAGGGAAAGTTGGATACTCTGCAGATATAGAATATGGAAGAATTTCCATTTTTAGATTTAAATACATGGAATGGTACAATTCTTATTCTTCACAACTCCACTCCTCAAGTGACATGATTTGTCAACAATGGTATGCTATACGATAATCACATCGAATCCTTTTGAAGGGAAGAAAGAAAAAACAAGGGTTTCATGGAGGGAATATATGGGGAATTGTTTACCGGAGGGAAAGAAATTAAAAGGGATTAGGGGCTATATAGTTTTATTATTATTATGATATTATAATATGAAAATGGAAGTGGGTTTTCAAAGACAAATGCTTGCCTAATTTTGGATCAGACAAGAGGAAATCCACCTAAAGAGATTTGGTTGATTTTCTGATTAGACAAGTAATGTTACATTTGGAATCATACATGTGGGTTGTTTGTCTTACATCACTTCTCCCCCCACCTCCTTTCTTTTTCTTTTTATTTATTTATTATTATTTGTGGACCCCCTTAAAAATGCATTAAAAATCCTAATATTTTGCATTTCTAATCCTTTTAATGTTATTGTACACCTACATATACATATATAAGAGACTTTTATCAACAACTCTATAGACGACTCAAATTTAGGTGGCCTATCGGTGAGAGAACATGCAAAGCATGCTCTCTTTCTGAGTTCAAACCCAAGCGTGAGGAGGGACATTCACATGGACTTTTTCGATCCTCTGGGAGATATAATCGGACCAAAGGCCCGGTGAACTTCCGGATTATCAAATAAAAAAAAAACAACTCTACAGACGATATTAGATCATATGTTTAGTTATTAATTTGGCAATCGCATCGCTATGAATAAAGACTTGGAAGACACATGTCTCCCTCGGGGCTGAACAGAGGGTTTTGAAAATGATGTAAGATCCATCATTTTCTAACTTTCCTTAAAAACTTTTTTTTTGCGATTAGAATCTGATACAATTTCCACCCAATATTACATTGTCTAGACACGCAACAAAGAGGGGGGGGGGGAATGATCATATAATAGATCAAGATCTCATGAAGTTGTACCAAACTATATCAATCAGATTTAGCATATTACAGGAAATGTATACTTTGTTACCTAATGACAACATAGAATATTGTGATGAGAGAGGGCTTTGGTGTGGAGAAGATACACGTAAAGATAAAACCCACCAATAATAATAATAATAATAAATTATTATCGGTAGTAGCGAGTGAAGGCTCCGCATCAGCTTCCCCATTTCTTTGTCGGCCATTCGTAAGATATGGACCCACCGATTAGGTCGCACACGACAAAACCCCGAAAACACTTGAAACTATATAGAAACAATGGGATCTTTTTAGATTTCACCATTTTTTTTTAAAAATTAAACTATAATTACAATTTGAAAATAAACAAAAAATCTCCAACTCCAACCTAGATATAGGCCTTCGTTGATTTACTACTTTGGTAGCTCCCTAAAGAGAAGATGCTCGCTTTGCCTCTTCTTCTTCTTCTCTTTTTTTTTATTTTCCAATTAAAATTCGACCCATTCACAAAGATTCCTATATTCATCCGTAATACACAACAGTCAACTATATCATTCATGTATAGTAAGAACACTCGAAAATCTTATTTATATATATATATATAGTAAATAATAAGAGAGGATATGTAATAAAGAAGAGAATAATCTAAATTTAGATAACTCAACTGGAAAAAGATAGAACAAATTTTATTTTCAACCCAAATATAAATTTCTTCATTTGGAGTCGATCTTTTAGAAAATTTAGTTGGATCAAAGTTACGGTTCACTTCTGTATTATAAAAAAAAGAAGAGAATAATTGGAGGCTAAAACCTAGCAGAGGAAGAAACAAACGATAGAGAGAAGAAATAGGGAGAGGCCCACACAAGAGGCAAAGCGACTTTAAACAGTAAGAAGCTAAAGGACACAGACATGCCCACTTCCCTCTCATGCAGTTTCAAAAGTACACAGAAACATACCTGAATTATTTTCACTCTCTCTCTCTCTCTTACACATCCTTTTCATCACTGTCTTCTTCATCTTCTGCTAAGTATACAACATTTCCTTTCATCGGATGTATACCACAAAGGAAAAAAAAAGAGAGAGAAGTGCTTTGTAGTTTCCCCACTGCTTTTCTCAAAAGCAGAAATTAAAAAAAAAAAAAGATTCCCATGGGTATATATAACTAGTGAACACAGTAAGCAACAGCTAATTCATGCAGGCAAAAAGGAGAACTTACTAGGGTCAACATGATAGAAAGGTCCCAGTGATTACGCGCGTGTGTGTGCGCGCGCGTACATATATATATATGTATGTATGTATGTATGTACTGGAGGCTGAAGTCGTAGAAACTCACATTCTTTGGAGTTTGTGGCTCTCAAATACACCAGAGAGTAAAAAGTGTACTTTTGTTGACAGAGGAACTTTAGGCAATATACGGTGACCAAGACTTGAGGGGGGGGGGAGGGGAAGAAACCTGTTTTGACATTTACAAAATAAGGGATGGGTTATTGAAGGGGGAAGCAGCCAAAAATAGGAAAAAAGGAATATTGATGTGAAACGAAAGCTCCTATAACGGATAAATACAGGTATCAGATGGTGGAGTTCCAATCAGCTTTCAAGTGTTTTTCTTTGTGTCTGTGTCTTTGTGTGTGTGTGTGTGTGTGTGGTGTGACAGCAAACCAAACCTACCAATATCTCATGTTCTTAGTACTTTTCTCTTTCTTATTGCCAACCCATGAAAAAAGTTGTACTGTAGGGTATAGTTTTTAGTGCATATTTTTTCCTCCTTATATAGCTTCAACCCTCGCTCCCCCATTGATTGAGAGAGAGAGGGAGAGTACAGAAGAGAGGAAACTCGTTACCTGGGAAATCTTGTTTTCTGTTTGGCCACTCATGGAAGCGTCAAGGGACGAGCCAACAAGACCGTTTGATTCCTCCTGCATCGTTTCCACATCCACAGCTCTTCCATGCTCAGATCCTCCACAGCAGCAGTACCTAGAACGGAACAGCAAAAACGAAGAAGAAGGCCGTCATGACAAAGAAGGAGAGGAAGGTGCGGGACTAGACCTTATGCTTACAGGGTTTGACTCTAGGCAACGGTCCAATCAAGAACTCAACCTCATCGACTGCTTAGATGCGGGTTTCCCTCAGAGTTGCCAAGGAACTTCCGCTGAGCAAAAGCTTTTCTCGTGCAACTACTGTCAAAGGACGTTCTACAGCTCACAGGCCTTAGGCGGCCACCAAAACGCCCACAAAAGGGAGAGGACTTTAGCAAAGAGAGGGCAACGTATCGCATCAGCTTTCGGCCATCCCTATGGTTTCACCCCGATGCCCTTCCACGGGCATTACAGCAACAGATCCTTGGGAATTCAGGCACATTCCATGAGTCATAAGTTGAGTTCTTACAATGGATTTGGTGGACAGTATGGACAAGTCAACTGGTCTAGACTACCTCTTGATCAGCAACCGGCCATTGGAAAGCTGTCTTCAATGGAGAATCATCACATGAACGCTGGTAGGTTCAACGTAGGAAGGATTGTACCAGGTCCTCTTACTCCCGAACTTTGGTGGGGAGGGGGAGGATCATATAAAGGTAACCATCAGGAGGAGCAGCAGAAGCTTGATTTGTCCCTCAAGCTCTGAACTTTTTCTTGATTTATCCACTCTGCAATTGTGTTTTTATTTCCTCCGTTTGTCCTGCGATTGATATTACAAAGAGTAAGTACTAGATGTGTATAGTTTGTCCACTATATAGATTCCGAATGTACATCTTTTCATATGTCTACACGATCTTGGTTTCCTAAGGCTCTGGATTTCAAGTGTACACCAAATAACCACAAAAGCAAGTCAAATTTCCAATAGAATGAAAGGGTTTTCTGGCTATACGAAAACCTGCGGATAAACGCTAAAACCAAAGAGACGATTTGAGATCCACATGAAGATTTGCTGTCATAATAGCAAGAAAAAAGTTAGTAATATAATAATGTCAAAGTTGGGTCACCTAAAAGCTATAACTATCATTTGTTTTTCAAAACCGGCTATAACAAGACACTCAAACAGAACAGAGCCAACATTATAAAGCAGCCACTGTTATGGTGATGATGACAAGAAGCACGGACTTCAGAAGGAGAACACAATGAATGAAGGGGTTAGTCCAAATACAGTAAAGAAATATATGAAAAGATCAGGCATCCAATGATCTCATCTCATTGCTAGTCCCCAAATCAGTAAACGTCAGACAGAAAACACGGTTTCCTTGTCCTCGAGGGCAAACCCTTGTGTGATGATACATTGATACGCACAAAGATTATACACTATGTGTACATGACATAGATTGTGCACAATGTGTATGTTTACCCATAACCATGTTCTTGCATGAAAAGTAATCATGTATGCATTATGATGCTTGACATATTCAAACAAAACAAGCTGAAGAAACTCACAGTACAAGTATCTTCTGAGATTGGACGAATATGGCTTAAAAGTATTAGTGAAAAGTCAATTACAGAAGACGCATTTTCGGTTAACATTTTGGTAACTTCCTGTCTTTAATCAGGTAAGTTTTATGACTGACACCTGAGATCTGGTGTGGTATGTACTCAATTATTCCTAAACGCCTGAGATGATACGTCAAACACAAGAAACATCAACATTGCAATAGCTGGGAACCAACAAACACAGAAGACAAACCATTACTGCAGATATTTATGAATAATAGCAAGCAGGGGCGGCAAATTACGAGAACATGAGGGTCCTAATGCACACAACAAACAGGATTTCAGGGACCCGATAACCATTATGACTAAAGGAGAAACAAGAAAGATAACCATGGATCCATGGATTGTAACACAGCAAACATCCGCACAGATATTTCTTTCCGTTTATCCAAGAGACCAAATTCTGCTTCAGCAAATATCAGCAAGGCTGAGAGCCATATCAGTGAAACTACTTAATATGAGCCATCTAGTTGAAACACCACGAGAAACCAAAGAAGCAGCGATGCATCTTCTGACAAGCTCGCTACTCGAATAGGAAATAGTGATATGGATACATATTTCTTGCACAAGAAGGAGACGCATTTTACCTTGTTCAGTGTTTAACTGATGAATCAAATAGAACTCAGTTGTAGAAAACATCAAATCATGACAGAAATGCTTGTTTGGATTGACACAAAAACATGGTCAGTGGTCGCAACCAACAAAAATCACACTGTTTTATGAATGAGACCAAGAAGAAACACAAAGGGAGACAGCCACACATGCAAAACCTGAAGCCAACCTGCTGCTGCTGAGCTTGATGAGCCCAAAGGGTCATTGTTAATCTTCTTTGTACATTATAGTTTGGCACTGACCAATCTTCTATAAACACACCTAAGCACAGAAGGAACAAAGATTTGATGGATCAGATAAGCATATTGGGCGTGAATGATTGAATGCAACAGAATCATTGTCGGATGTCAATGACTGACGACGAGAGAAGGAAATGAAAGGCTGTGAATTAGCTGTAGTCAATACTTTTCCTTTTATTTTCTCGGAAACCAAACATGAATTTGGAATCAGAAAAAGAAATCTAGGAGAACAGAAAACAAACATGAATCCGATGGTCCTAAATCCTTCACCATCACTTGTTACCCTGCTTTTGACATAAATCTTCACTGTTTTTGCCTATTTCTCCCAGAATTTCTGGGGAACCAAACAGAACCTAGGAATCAAACACATATAAACATTCCTTGACACCGCATCGGCCATCTCATCGTTCTCCGATTTCCGCAAGCTACACGGAAGCTGAGAAAAAACCTACACAAATCATTCCGTTTCGATCTTCTCGCGTCAAATAATTTTCCCGGAAACCAAATACAGCTTTGAAAATTGCTGGACACATAGAAAGTTGCACTCAACCTGGGGACAAGCGGCACAACCGTGCCGGCGCCGGAGAATCGCCGGAGACGACGGGCTCGGCGTTCTCGAGGGTTAATTTGGTAAATTTGGATGTGCATCCTTTGGGCCTCTATCTGGATTGGATTCTAGAAAAGTAAACATGAAGCAACATCTGCGATAATTTGAAGGCCCAATAATGGCCCAATGATATTAATAAATGGTTTATTAATTGTTACTACACATTTTGTTTACAATTGATAATATAAATTAGCAGATTTTTTTTTGGTTTAATGTGAATATTATATATAAGTATAGATTATTTTGACTTCATTGGAATATATATATATATATATATATATATAATTTGGAATATTATTATCCACAGTTTTAGATATAATCATATACGCATACACATATGCACACATCATTTCATTATATACCATACATTTAATATTTAATTAATGGCAAAGTTTATAAACTATAAAGGTCCACAAATGTTGTATATTCAATTTAATTATGAACAGTAAAGGCTAAAGAGGACACCATTAAGTCGCTGAGTCAACACAGAATCAGCATTGCACTAAGAAATAAAACTTAAAAGCCTCCGGGAGAAACAGAGTCATCACTATATCCATCTGGATTCCTAGGGGGAATCCATGATTTGTCTCCGGTGGAACGTACACGTGGCCCGCAAAACGATTGCCGTTTTTTCAACTCTTGTCGAAGAGATTAATTTGTAATTATTTAATTAAAAAACCAGTAACGTAATCACCATTAATCACAGTTGTTAATAACTTAATATACTATATATATAAGTATTTAAATTCGTATTTTGTGATAAGAACAAACTCCATCAACATCTAGCAACAGTTAGCTATCTTAATGTTAGAAATCTAACTAACATAATTATTACATCTTTAGTTTTATACAAAGAGTTTTATGTGAAGATTCTGATTAAATTAGTTTTGATATAAATCCACATAAATAAATATGAACCTGGAAATAACAGAGATTTATCTATAAAATATTATAATAGTAGAAGAATTTATATATGGAAAAAAATCACATTCTACTGATTCTAAACCGAACAAATAATATTGAGAATAAAATATCTTTCTCCTTATACTCAATAATTGTTTTGATGAACGATTTTAGATAGGAATAGTCAATTTAATTAATAACATATAATCAGAAATGAATTTGATATAAAAAAATGAATGGTTATATTTTTTAAATAAAAAAATCGAAATTGAATCGAAACAAACCGAATAAAAAATATATGAAAATTTTATTTAAAAAATAAGTATTTTTATTAATAAAAATAGCATCCGAACCAATTGATTATATATATGTGTGTGTATATATATGATCGGGTGTATTTGAACATGTCAATATAACTATCTCGGAAGTTCATGATCAATTCCGACAAAGAAACATCGGTTTCTTCATCCGTATGTCGAGACACGGGATGAGACATGGCTCGTGCTTTAGCATGTGGATTTATTTGTCGTAAACTACCGTTTAGACCCTCCCTGTAGTTACCATATTACAGCACTTGCCATTCACCGGTTTAAAGCACACCATTTTCCTTAACCGATCTAGCTAACCTACCAGAACCGGTACAAATGTAAACCATTGGTTTTGATTAGATTTGTTATTTATCCATTGAATAAAATAAGCAAGATTGTAATCGGGTTCGTCGCTTATTTGGTCCAATTTATGTAATACCGATGGTTAATTTCGGTTTGGTTAATAACTATTGCAAACTTCACCAAGAAATTTAAAAGCCAAATCGACCGGTAAATATTAAATTACCATATTATATTTATGGGATTGTGGATACTGAAAATCATTCCTTCCCTCCAGGCCTGGACAGGAGTATTATGATTATTATTTTTACTATAATTAATTAGTATATACTTGCTTTAATTAATGGAATTGAAGTGAAGGGAAATTAGCTATTGCCCTGCTTGTAGCATTATTTTAAGGTTTTACCCTTGTATTATCGATTGTTAAAAATCCCCCATAATTCACCAATTGTATTGGATCTCGTCCCTCTAATTACTAAGATTTATACAGCAGTAAATTTGATGAATAAGATTTACATATCCGAATCTTTATATAATTTTTCGTTAATTCATGGAGAAAAGGACCAAACACTGGTCGTGGTCGTGGTCAGCAAATTGGGGCCAGAACTAATTACCATAAATATTTGGGCCAAAAGCTGAGATTTCAATAATTTCGGGTACGACGGAAATAATTCCTAGTTAAAGGGAACGAAAGAGGACAGAGAGCTGAAAAGACGATGTGTAGCTTTTAAGAAAGAAGGAATAGAAGAAGCTTCGCTTATACCGAGAGAAAAAGAGGAAGAAGAGTTCTTCGGGGCACAGAGAATCTCATTAAAAAAAAAAAAGATTTTGAATTTGGCCATTTTTTTTTGGTTCGGAAGAAGATGTTGTGTAGAATGGTGTTGGCCCGGAAGAAGAAAGCCGGTTCGGTCCCGGTTTATCTGAATGTGTACGATTTGACCACCATTAATGGCTACGCTTACTGGTTCGGCCTTGGAATCTACCACTCTGGAGTTGAAGGTCTCTCTTTCTCTCTCTCTCTCTCTATATATATATATATTTGTGTGTGTTCTGGTGTGTGTTGGGTTCGGTTACCGAGAAAAAAGTTCGAGCTTTTCTGGGAAAATTATTGATGGTTAGGAGAAAATGTTGCCCGTGTGCTGTGAATGTTGCCCGCATATGGCTTTGGGGGTAAAACTGTTTGTTTCCCAGAAAAATTCTCTGGAAAAGCTTGGAACTTTCGAACTGGGAATTGAAGTTGTCACCGAATCTTGCTGGCTCCTTTGAGGGTTTTCGTCGTTCACATTCTGGATTTATCTAGGGGAATGTGAAAGTTAAGAAGAGACTTTGTGACGTTGTAGGAATAGATCCTGTTTCATCTTCCTTTGGTCCGAAACCTGCAACTTTTTTTTCTCCCTAAAGCAACATGTTCAGATTTGAGAAACATTTTTTTAAGAATGTATCAGTCCTTGTTTTGTGACCGTTAATGTGTATTTGTCACGATGATAGCGACGGTCTGTGTAATAACCAAAACCGCCTGATCAGTTTAGTTAAAGGTTACAACCATGGATTTGACCTGTCTCTATCGATGCACTTCATTTCGCAAATACAGATCCTCACTGAAAGTAACTAGTTTCCAATCATGTCTTGTTTGAGTCCTGATTTGCTTTTTAGATTATGGAAATATGGTCCTCATGAATGAATCAGCTGTTATCACGTGCTCTGATCTATGTTTTTTCACCGCTGTTTTCCAGTTCATGGCATTGAGTATGGTTTCGGGGCACATGAGCGCTCAACCACGGGGATTAGTTTGCTCCCTCTAAGGTTCATCCCGAACCCGACCCGACACATCACACCCGCTGAGAGACTCATTAACTTCCGGTTCAGGTTAACCGGAGTTCCGGACAAACCCGATTGCTCGACAAAGCCGATGAACGAGTTGACCTCTTCCTCTCTTACATGCCGAAACGACTGAACCCTTTTCGAGCTATAGAGTTCGAGCATACTCATCTTTCGCAGCTCGGAAGAACCGACTTAGATCCCGAGGAAGTTCATGCTTTCATGGAGAAACTGGCCGAAGAGTATTGCGGCAACACTTACCATCTCATCACGAAGAACTGCAACCACTTCTGCAACGATGTGTGCGTTAGACTGACCGGAAAACCTATCCCTAGCTGGGTTAACCGTCTTGCTCGGCTCGGTAAAGTACTCTGAATCTCTCGTGTTTCTCGGTTTTTCTTTAGGTGCCCGCCCTTGTTTTCGATATGCACGATCCTTTGCTCATGAAACCGGGAGAAGTGACAAACTCGAAAATTTGGTAGGATGTGAAAAATCTCTCACGTTTCTTGGATTTGATCCGAATCGTTAGGATTATTACATTGCACAGTTGTTTGTACAACTTAATCCAGTCTGGAATATGAAGAAAATCTGCCGTATCATTGCTATAAGTAACCGTTAGAATGTTGCTTGATCCACAACTGCGAAACAGAGCGCCAGAACGATCAAGAAAACTTTGGTTCCGATTTTATATTGCAGAAAGCTCGTAACTTTCCGGGCTTGAATTCATCCGGACGAAGAACTGAATCGTTCTGATGCATGATTATGGAAGATACTAAATGCCCTTTTATCAGAACAAAGTTTGAACCTTTGGTTATTCACTCACCACTGTTGATAAAGTTTGAAACTTTGTTATCCAATGCAATTACCCGTTTTTTGTCGGTTTTGTCTTTGCCATAGGTTTGTTCTGCAACTGCGTTCTCCCGGCAGGCTTGAACGAAACAAAGGTGAGGGGAGTGAGGTCGGAGGAGAAAATCCCGGAAGCCGAAAAGAAGAAACTCCGCAGCCGATCAAGTAGATTTACGCCCGACCCTTCGCTTTCTTCTTCATCCTCTTCGTCTTCAAGTTCTTCATCGAACCGAATCAGAAGAGAAGAAAGAAGAAGAGAGTGCCTTCCTCCATCGCCATCTCTGGCTCCGGACTCTATAGCTTCAACCGTTAGCATCCAGCTCTAGCCAGCCTCACCAGTTTATACCCTTTTTTTCTTTTCTCTAAGACTATGAAATATATAGAAAATGGTCCCGAAAAAGCTGTTGTCTCTGTCGGGATTCGAATCTTGGATCTGATTCGTCATCCTGCCAAAGGGTAGGTTAGTTGTAGAGTCCAAGAATGCAGGATCTAATATCTATAAACATACCTCTTGAACCAAGGTCTTCTTGAACCAAGGTCTTGCAATATCGATCGAATCCACCAGATTTGATATAGTTTATTCAAGAATCGGTACAAAGATCATCGTTTTCACTTCCGCAGAACTTCAAAAGAACAGTAATGAAAGCCCTGTAATAAAACACACAGTTGCAATCTATTTCACGACAGATCGAATCATGTCCACTGAGTTACGATGGGGACAAGTTGAAGTGGTTCCTTCTTAAGAGCTGTAAGGCCATAGATTTCCTCTACGTCCACGTCTTCGATCTTCGTTCCTTCCGGAAGCTTCCAGTCGAATCGGTAAAGAAGGTTCATAAGAGCCAAGTGTACCAAAGCCATACCCATCCCTATTCCGGGGCATATCCTCCTCCCACTCCCAAAGGGCAGCAGCTCGAAGTTCTGACCTTTGTAGTCCATATCGACATCCGCAAATCTTTCCGGGATGAAACATTCTGGATCTTTCCATATCTCGGGATTGCGATGGATCGCCCATATGTTCACTTGGATCCGGGTTTTCTTCGGTATGTGGTATCCGTTGATCTTGACATCGTTCATCGTTTCTCGTGGGGCTAGAAGGAGCACGACGGGATTGATTCTGAACGTCTCTTTGATCACCATTTTCAAATAATCGAGATCCCTCATGTCCTCTTCGGTGATGTTGTCCTTGTCCTTGATGCGTTCTCTGAGTTCGGTTTGTACCTTCTTCATAACTCTGGGGTTCTTTATCAAATGTGTCATCGTCCATGCCACGACTTGAGCCGAAGTGTCCACCCCAGCTAGAAGAACATTCTACGAATTCCGGTACATGCCCGTCAGTTATATTTCGATCGGTTCATTCTCTTGCAGTACAAGAGTTTATGTTACAGAGATTTAACGAAAGAGAGCTTACCATAAGGATTCCTTTGATGTGGTTTCTCGTGAGCCGGAACTTACCAAGGTCGAGTTCTCCTCTCTCCATCTTGAGAAGCAAGCCGATGAAATTGTTCTCGTGTTGTTGATGGTGTTTGATCGCTTGTTCGTAAAACTCGTCGAGTTCACGAGAAACCTTCCCGCATCTTCCGCGTAATCCCGTAAAAATATCCACGATCCTACCGAGATACGGGAAGAAATCTGCAGCCGCAAAGCTCCCCATCACTTGCATGGCTTCGACAATGATTTCTCCGTACTTCTCCTCGAGTTTGCTCCCTCTAAGGTTCATCCCGAACCCGACCCGACACATCACACCCGCTGAGAGACTCATTAACTTCCGGTTCAGGTTAACCGGAGTTCCGGACAAACCCGATTGCTCGACAAAGCCGATGAACGAGTTGACCTCTTCCTCTCTTACATGCCGAAACGACTGAACCCTTTTCGAGCTATAGAGTTCGAGCATACTCATCTTTCGCAGCTCTCGCCAATATTCGTTGTAAGGGGAAAACGTGAGATCGTTGAAGTCGTAGGAGAGCTTCTCGGGGCAAGCGAGATAAGGCCGAGAACAACAGTCCACGTCGCACGTTTTCAAGATTTCTCTCGCGGTCTCCGGCGTCGATGCCACGACCGTGGGCACGTTTCCGAGCTTTAGATACATGAGAGGGCCGTATTTTTTCGACAACTCGAACAACGAACGGTGGGGTTGCGATCCCAATTGATGCAGATTTCCGACGACGGGAAGACCCTTTGGCCCGGGAGGAAGGTTCCTGGCATCTCTTCGTTTTCTTATAACGAGAACAAACGCGAAAACGATGCAAGCAACGACGATCCAAGAACTCATCATTCTGTGTCATAATCACCGACAATAATATTGATTGATTATAAAATATGAATCTATGTTAATAATAGTATCACTGGATCAACTTTTGCAAGTAGAACCTTACCTTTGGTTTGTGGCAGAGGTTTCGTGAGATAGAGGAGAAGGAGATGAGGGGGGAGAGATTGAGAGAGACGCAGAAAAAGACTGCAATTATTTATAGCGTGTTGCTAACTTGCGCCGATGGTTGCGTGTTACTCTTTATTTTTTCTTTTATTTTTTTTCCACGTATCTAACAAAATCTACTTTTTTGAAATCCCATGATTTCTTCGTCTATTACGATTTCGATTTTTATCAATAAAAAATCGAATTATTTTACTTCACTGTAAAATTTGATAATTTATCTATTTTCCTAAAATTTGAATGTTATCCGTTTTCTTCAAAATTTTAAAATATATCATATTCTTATATGTTTTTAAATTTCTCTATTCAAATTTGGAAAATATTTTGATCATTGAAGATTTAGGATCAGTATATTATGAATTATAAAAAATGATGAATTATTAAAATTTTTGGGAGAAAAAAGGCAATGACGATAGAATTTGTGGCGAAAGAGATGCATATGTGTACCAGTATTAACAGATGGTGGATAGAATTATCACCCGATTCGATCTAAAAATTATCCGAAAGTTGATGTCTGAATTACATACAAATTCAGATTTTTTTAATTTTAAAAAATTAATAATATGAATTAAAAAATACAAATTATTATTATTATTTATTTATTTTTTAAATTACTAAAATATTTCTAACATTTTATAAAAAAAATTTATACCTTTTACCTATTAGTTTATCTCGTGATAGATTTTGGATTTTAAAGTTTTAAAATCAAATATCTTAAATATTATATCCAGCCGACAAACATATCGTCATACGATTGTGTTAACAAAACAAAATTGATTACTCAAAAAGAAAAGAAAACTAAAATATTTTTCGTCGTTGCCAAAATTAAAAAAAAGAAAAAGAAAAAGATGTCAGCGAACTGAGTGGATCACGTAGTTTATCGGTAGATAAGAGCCGTGAAGTGATTTTCTTTTCTTACCCTTTATTCAATGTTTTGTAAGAATGATAAAATTTTATATAGATTAAAAAAAATGTGATTAATAAATATCTCAATTTTAAATTCGGCAAAAACATGTTGTAGCAGATTCCGATACAGAACATGGGATTTGATCGATCTCTCTGTCCAAACAAACCAAAAGGAAAGAAATTTTGGCATTCACCGCCACGTGGATGACATGTCAGCACCGATTTTTTAAATAAATTTTGAAAATTGGTATGCAAACCGATTTCAATTAAATCGATTATGGATTTTTTAGGGTTAGGTTAAAATATGCAAATTGATTTAATTGAAATCAGTTTACATGCCATCTTTTTTTTTTCTTTTTTTTTGAAATCGATTTTCAATTCGATTTTTAAAACTGGTTTAAAAAATCGGTTTGCCAATGTAGCCTACCAATATTTGTTACCTTTTATTTAAAAAATCTATTTAAAATCATTAATTTACATTTAAAAAAAAAATCTAACAACGTATTGGAAATATTACTCAAATAACCCACTTGGGTCGCAGCAATTTCAGTGTACACCACCGAAAAAAAAAAAAAAATTTGCGACCTTATTACGACTAATATATAACTAATATACAACTTATTACGACTAATAAACTACTCTTATTTTAGTTGTATATTAGTTATATATTAGTCGTAATAAGGTTGCAAATTTTTTTTTTTTTTCGGTGGTGTACCCTGAAATTGTTGCGATCCAAGTGGGTTATTAGGGTTAAAACCCCCAACGTATTAGCGAAATATCTTGTTATTTCAAGTGTTTTGAGTCTAGTTTACAATCACCAACACGAAGATGGAGATGACTTTTCAACAGTACACGTGTGCGAGGTAAAGATGGTAAAGGCTTATCCGATAAACCGGGGCAAACCGGTTTTGGTTCAGACCAACGGGTCATGACCGGTACAAGTTCAAGCGGTACCTTCTTCGAAATCGCTAATCCATGTGTTTCTTCAAGATCAACGTCTCCGACCCTTCATCCTTCTGGAAGCTTCCAATCGAACCGGTAAAGAAGGTTCATAAGAGTCAATTGTACCAAAGCCATACCCAATCCTAAACCGGGACATATCCTCCTCCCACTCCCGAAGGGCAAAAGTTCGACATTCTTGCCTTTGTAATCGACATTGTTGTTACCGGTAAATCTCTCGGGGATAAAACGTTCGGGATCTTTCTATACATCGGGATTCTGATGGATCGTCCACGTATTCACAAGGATTTCGGTTTTTTTCGGGATATCGTAGTCGTTGATCTTCATATCCCTCATTGCCTCTCTCGGAACCAAAAGCGGTAAAAACCAGATCCATGTAAGCCGTCCAAAAGTAAGTTCTGCAATTAATAGAAACACAAGGTTCATAAAATGACATTTTCCAGTTTTTGTCTTAAACTATAATATGAAATAAATATATAGATGTTTTTTTTTTTTTACCATAAGGTTTGCTTTGATGTGGTCTCGAGTAAGCGTGAATGCGCCCAAACCGACTTGTTCCCTCTCCATCTTGAGAAACAAATGACATCTTCTTGACCATCTTTGCTCTCACGTTCTAAATGAAACTTGATCGCTTGTTCGTAAAACACGTCAAGATCGTGAAAAACCCTTTCGCACTTGGCATCGATCTAATCCCGTGAGTTTATCGATGATCCAATCGAAATACGGGAAGAAATCTGTTGCCTCCACGGCTCGGTAAACCACGTCCTCGAACATCTCCTCGAGATTGATCCCTCTAAGATTCACACCGAAATCGACTCTACACGTCACACTTGCTGACAGTCTCATCAACTCCCGGTTAAAGTTGACCGGAGTTTCTGATAAACCTGATTGCTAGAGAAAGTCTATGAATGAGGCGATTTCTTCTTCTCTTAAGTACCGAAACAATTTGATCCTTTTCGAACTGTAGAGTTCGAACACACTAATCTTATTTAGATCTCTCCATTAGTCACTGTACGGAGACAAGATGAGATCTTTGTAGTTGTAAGAGAGCCTAGCGGCGCAAGTCATTTAGGACGTGGACAACAATCCGAGTCGTACGTTTTGAGAAACTCTTTGGCTGTTTCTGGTGTTGAGGTCACTACTGTCGGAACACTTCCCAACCGTAGATACATGAGGGGACTGTATTTTTTGGATTGCGTGTTTTAACTTCATGAGATCTACATCAAAAACTACATTGAAAAATGTAAAGAAAACTGTAAAAGATAGAATATATACGAAAATTGAGAAAAAGAGATAAATGGAAGCAATTTTTTTTTTTTTGTATTTTATTCCTATTATCCTTCTTCTTATAGAGACAATGGCATATGCTCACGCCATTACAATCACCAATATAAACACCAATACATATAAAAATTTATTATAACGATGTAACAAATACTAATAGAAAATATTCTCTAAATATTCTCTAATAACGTGAAGAGTGAACGGTGAGGTCTCGTCCTCGACTGATGCAAATTTCCGACGATGGGAAATCGTGTCGGTCCGGGAGGAAAGCTCTTGCCTCTTTTCATCTTCTTCGTGACGAGAATGAACCCGAAGAATGTGAACAGAACGATGATCCAAGAACTCATTTTTCGCGATCCTGAAAATGCAAGAATTTGAGAGAGAGGATATTCAATTAAGACAACTGCGTATAGCATTTTAACATATGTTTCTTAATGCATGTTTACTACAACTACTACAATATTTTCCATTCGAACACACAAATTTCCGAAATCTAATATATAAAAGTTGAGTTTAAACGTGTTTCTAGAAAAAAAAATTATATTATCTTCCTTAATTATCTTAAGTATTTACTCGTCTGCCTCTAAATTTTCTACATTTAAATCCACATGTAATTTTTTAAGTCATAAATTTCATATCTAATTTAAATTTAAATTATTGAAAATCTAATTAAACATACAAAAAAATAACGAACCAGATTAACTTAAATTTTGTTTAAATCAATTTTAATTTGGTTTTATATAAATTATTCTAAAGACAAAAATACCATTATTAATATCAAAAATACTTTTTTGATAATTTTTAAATATAAAATCTAAAAAATAAAAAATTAAAATATTATTTTTAATCAATCAAGCTTTATAAAAAATGAAAAAACAAAAAAAAAACAAAAAACCAAAAGTTAAAAACTAAAAAACAATAACTAAAGCCAAAAACTCCATTCTTTTTTATTATCGACTTGATTTGTTCAAAACCTTTCTTGATATAGATATATGTAAAATACATATGTGATTATAAAAGAATGGTTAACAGATTCAAATTATTAATCTATATGAAATTTGAAAAATACATTTACTTTAAAATAATAATGTATAATTTACCAAATTATATATTAATAAAATTATTGTATATGTAGATCTAATCAAATCACTGCGAAATATATAGATATAGTGATAAGAACTAATTAGATCACTTTCGATTTAATAATTTAAATATATATATATATATATATATATATAAGGAATTTTAAGAGGACAGGATGCTAATGTGCTAATGAGCTTTATGCACGCGGTTTCTCTAAGTATGTTCGTCCAACTATTCGAATGGATGATATTGATCAAAGTGGATCTCTATATACATATTTATATATAATTCGTATTCCCTTCATAATTGTAATAATGAATATAGTTCGGATAAAACAATAATGTATACAAAAAAAAAAAAAATAACTCGAAATATTTCCACGGGTAACTTTTATAGCTTGATAAAAAGCTAGTGCTGCCACTTGCCACTTGCTAATTAATGTTATAACGTTTTCTGTATTTTACGAATACTATTTAAAAATTACAATAACAATGATTAAGTTAAAAAAGTTTCCATATATATATATATATATATATAAATATGAAAGATTGTTCTTAAGTAAATTGAGAGATGATGACAAGGAAAATATTACCTAGTGGCTTAATTGTTTTGCTCGTAGAGAATGGAGAGATATTTAAGATATATGTTGGATTGTGTCTAATTGTGAGGCGAAGATGGCCATTTATAAAATATTTTGAAGTGGGAACTAACGTCCACTTACTAGTGAAAAAATGTTTAAAATTTAGATTATTATTCAAATTAAACGCCATTAAAAAAATGAGAAAAAACAAGTTATTAAATGCTCCGATGTTGCCTTGAAATACATATATTAATAAAAAAAATATTATTTTGTTCAAAATAATCTTATTTAGTTTGTAAAAAGTTATTATCTTAAAACGTGCAAGAATATTTGACTATTATTGATAAATGATATTTGGAAAACAATATAAAAAATACATAAAAATCTAAAGACGTTATTTATTTTGAAACAAAAAAATTATCCTAAAACATCATGTAAAATTAAACAGAGAGAATATATAGAAATTGAATATGGATGATTATGTAAATTTACTAAAAATGAAGATTAAATCTTTTAATGTTTAAACTTTACTGATATATTCACAATATTTTCTCAAATATTTTGCAATTTTCACAAAATTAGTTATGAAATGTATTTTTTTTATATAATTTGATTTGCTAACTATTTATTTTGTTTTTTCCTTAGAAAACAAATTTATTAAAAAATAGTTTTTTCTTTTATTTATTTTTTTTTTAAAATTGCATATTAATATATGAACTCATAAAAAATGTTAGATAAATATACGAACTAAAAAATTTCTAAAAAATAAATAAACTCTTTTAAATTTTTACATTAAAAACTTAATTTTTAAACAACTCTCAAAAACTATTATATCATGATGGTTTATGAAAATCGTTTAAAAAATTAATTGTTAATTTTATGATATTTTTTAGAGTTATTTAAAAGTTAATTTTGTTATTTTCAAAAAGTTAAGAATTTAAGAGTCATAAAGTGTTTTTGTATTTATTTAAAAATTTTAAATTTGTATATTTGTATGCTATTTTTTAATTCCGGGTATTAGTATACCATTTACTTTTTAAAAAAAATTTCTCCTAAAAATCGACACCACGCATAGTTTTTTAATAAATCCGAAAAAAAAAAAATTTAAAGAACTACTTTCTCATTGTTGAAATTTGTGGAGATAACTCCTATGGATATGGATGTCTAATTCAATAAAATATTCAATATTAATAGATTGTTTTCAATTATTTCGGTTATTAATTGAACCGGATCGAATAACCGATTGGTTATAATTTTTCAAAACCTAAAATAACCGAATCAGAACCGAATAAAATTTAATAACTGTTTGGTTATGAATTCTCAAAATTTGGAATAATCAAATCGTTTCTACATCTCAATTTATATATATACACACTCATATATATATATATATATTTCTAATTTAATCATCATTTTATTATTTAATTACAATTTTAAACGGATAAAACTGAATCAAATCGAATCCAAATTAATCATAACCGATTAGCCCGAACCGGTCGTCCAACCCCGAAAAAAAGTCCGTGTGTTTGGTTTTATATTTCATAATTATATATGTGTTATGGTCAAACACCCAGCTACATGGTTATGCTTATTAAATCCAATAAATAAACAATATTTTGGGATTTTAAACGACGACGTTCCAAGTTGAAACATATTTTTCATGAAAAAAAAAATCTCTCAAATGATGCGCGTCACCTAAAGTCAAAGATCTGTTTGGCTGTGAATGGAAAATATAACTAACTTCATTATTAGAGTAAAGAAAATGAAAAGCACATAGAAAATGGTTTTGGTTAGTAATATATATGACATCCCAACATTTTTTCCATCATTATTTTTTTAAAACTAGTTTTAATATTATATTATTGAAATTCCAATATTTAAGATTGGAAATCAATTCGTATATACTCCAAACTGGAATTATAAATGGCTAGACTAAATAAAATATATTATTTGTTCAATTTAATTCAGTTCATTATCTCAGATACAAGTTAATTAATTCAAGTCTGAACGAATTGAAACATAACAATCGTAAAAGCCTATACAATAAATATCGTTTGACCACAAAAACCATAACAAATGTTTTAGTTTATTAATTTTGTATGACGAAAACCAGAGGTCTATTATCTAAATCTACCAAAAATATTTTTAAAATAATAATTTCATCGTTGGGATAAAATAATTTGTTTGATTTTAAACGAATTAAAAAAAAAACTAAACCAAATCATCTAAAACCTATTAAAGTTGGTGAGATTCAAAACCATTAATACAAAGTTTTTTTTATCTCTTTTTTATTTTAATTTTATTTGAACTAGTTTACAATAAATAAATAAATAAATTTAACCAAATCAATAACCGAACTAGTCCCTCGAAGATAGATTTTACAAAGTTCTTATAAAACAAGTTTAAGTTACATAGAGTGTATGAATAATGGTGAGTTAAAACCATTAAACTCAATAACCTAGTAATCATCATCCTTTAGTTATCATTAGAAATTATTGGTTTAACATTCGGTTTAGGTTATTTTCCAGAGTATAAATATATTTATTAATTTATATATTTGAGGTTTTTGGGTACAAATATTATGTGGTCCTTAGTCTTAATACATGTTTTGCTTTTGATAATCATCTATATAAACCACTAACTTGGCCGTACACACATTCTCCATTTATTTTACATCCGATCGGAGAGATGAAAGCCGAGCGTCGGATCATGTCCATTGAGTTACGATGGGGACAAGTTGAAGTGGTTCCTTCTTACGAGCTGTAAGGCCATAGATTTCCTCCACGTCCACGTCTTCGATCTTCGTCCCTTCCGGAAGCTTCCAGTCGAATCGGTAAAGAAGGTTCATAAGAGCCAAGTGTACCAAAGCCATCCCCATCCCCATTCCGGGGCATACCCTCCTCCCACTTCCAAAGGGCAGCAGCTCGAAGTTCTGACCTTTGTAATCCATATCGGCCTCAGCAAATCTTTCCGGGATGAAACGTTCTGGATCTTTCCATGTCTCGGGATTGCGATGGATCGCCCATATGTTCACTTGGATCCGGGTTTTCTTCGGTACGCTGTACCCGTTGATCTTGACATCGTTCATCGTCTCTCTCGGGGCAAGAAGAAGGAAAACGGGATTGATTCTGAACGTCTCTTTGATCACCATTTTCAAATAATCGAGATCTTTCATGCCTTCTTCGGTGATGTTGTCCTTGTTCTTGATGCGTTCTCTGAGTTCGGTTTGTACCTTCCTCATAACCCTAGGGTTTGTCATCAGATGTGTCATCGTCCATGCCACGGCTTGGGCGGAAGTGTCTATTCCGCCTAGAAGGACATCCTACAATTGCCCGTGCACGCCTATTAATTACATTTAATATAATAGTGTATATTATAAGGTTTTAACAAATTAAGGAAGGCTTACCATAAGGATCCCTTTGATATGGTTTCTAGTGAGCCGGAACTTCCCACCAAGGCCAAGTTCTCCTCTCTCCATAGCAAGAAGAAGGCCGATGAAATCTTTTTGATCGTTCTTGTTCTCATGCTGTTGATGGTATTTGATCGCTTGCTCGTAAAACTCGTCGAGTTCACGAGAAATCTTTTCACACCTTCCGTGTAATCCCGTAAACATATCGATGATCCTACCGATATACGGGAAGAAATCTGTCGCGGCAAAGCTCCCCATCACCTTCATGGATTCAAGAACAGCTTCTTCATACTTTTCCTCGAGTTTGCTCCCTCTAAAATTCATCCCGAACCCGACCCGAGAAATCATGTTGGCTGAGAGACTCATTAACTTCCGGTTTAAGTTAACCGGACTTCCTGATAAACCCGATTGCTTGACAAAGTCAATGAACGAGCTGACTTCTTCGTCTCTTGTATGTTGGAATGATTGAACCCTTTTCGAGCTATAGAGTTCGAACATACTCATCTTTCGTAGTTCTCTCCAGTATTCGTTGTAGGGATCAGAAAATGCGAGATCGTTGGAAAGGTAAGAGAGTTTACCGGGGCAAGCCAGATAAGGCCGAGAACAACAATCTACGTCGTACGTTTTCAAGATTTCTTTCGCGGTCTCTGGCGTCGATGCCACGACCGTAGGCACATTTCCGAGCTTTAGATACATGAGAGGGCCGTATTTTTTCGACAATAATATGGTCAACTAACAAATAAAAAATGTTTACATTATACTTCACACTTTTCATGTACAATTAAAAGCAAATATGTTAATTAAAATTCGAAAACAGAAACTATTAATATTTAGTATATATTACACTGAATTTTGATAAAAATGTGTAATTTTAAAACTAATTGTTGTTTTTCAGTTATAATAATCATAATTTTTAGTATAAAATTCTATAAAATTTTACAAACTGTTTTGAATCATTTGATATTTAATCTAAATTAAACATAAAACTGAACCAAAAAGATTAATGGAATCATATCAACCCATAGTTAGTTCAATATGTCGTAGATTTTATTATTTTAATCCAAACTAATTTATAGTTTACTAAATCAAATAGAGATTAAAATAGACATAACTATACTTATTTTTTGTATTTTTATATGATTTTTTCAAATGATATATATTTGTACTTGTTTTTTAGCTGGAAAATTTGAATGATTACGGATTTTGATATTTGATTATTAAAATTTTATACTTACAATTTAAATATTTTTTAAAATTTTCATATAAATTTTTTAAGATTTAACTATTTATATAATTGATTTTTAATGTAAATTTTAATTTGTATTTTTAAATTAAAATGTATTCTATATTATTAGAGTAGAAAAATTAATGACAACTTGCTATTTAATTTATTTTCCACATTAAATAACACTTAAAAGTACTTAAAAAACAACTCGGTCAGTCTTGAAAAATATTTTAATTAATAATTCAGCCATGTTTGAATTTATGGATACATCATTTGTTTTTTTGTTCTATCTAACTCAATAAATTATTCAATAAAATATAAAGAAACGTATGAACATTTTTTATCATGTTTTTTTAATCAGTTTTAAATATTTTGTAATAGATACATTTAATTCAATAAATTAATAATCTGTTGAATTTAGAGTTTTAATTGACTAAAAACATAGTTACCTACCTATACTTATTACATCCATTTAGAAACAAAAATCCATATTCATTGACTTTAAGACGGGTGACCGAACTACGAGCTATTTCTACCGGGTGAGTGTTTCGGGAATCGGTTCAGTTTTGGGATTGGATTGTATCGGTTCGGTTTTTTCGGTTTTACAAAAATAGATACCAATCGGTTTCTAAATTATATTTGGTTCGATTCGGTTCCGATTTTTATTTTTTTTAAAAAAAGATAGGTTTCTTTTAAAATATTCGATTTTTCAGAATTTTTTTTAAAATTCGATTTTTCAGAATTTTTTAAAATTCGATTCGTTTCAATTTCAAGAAATTCGGTTTCTAAAAATAATACCATTAAAAAATTTAGAATAATTCGGATAGGAAAAAATATCATATTTTTCAGTTTAGTTCTTTAAAATCGAACCGAAATATTTACTCCTAATTTTTACCATCGATGCATTGATGCGTCGATATGGACAGATCCATGTTGATATATATTGGGGCATATGCCCCCATTGATTTGATTGAAATTTCATAATTTCTTCATAAAGTCAATCATTTTTTAACCAAATTTTATAAATGCTCTAAATGTTTATCATATGTAAAATTAATTTTGCCCCCAATTAAAAGTTTTGCTAAGTTTGTTATTGTGTGTCAATATGGAAATGTGACAACGTCTTTAAAGCCAAATTTTTGTAGGTAATCCAATATTTTGGACTTAGTTTGAGGGTGGTCGGGGATTTGAAATATACATCATTTGCCAAACTTGAGATTCGAATTTGCAACGGAATATACATTTTATGTTCCCGTTTTATCTGTTAAATTATCCAAATTTGGGTCTTGCAACTACTGTCGAGTCTTTTGGAAGGATCCCGGGTCAGCCATCTCCCGCAAACCTCTCCACTGCATCTCACAGATTTCGGGTATCAATTAGATTCTAGTCGCACTGGTATCTCCCGTCACTAGAGAGATGTTCTGATAGATGAAAGGAGGAGCATCAACTGTTGTTCTATGTTTCATCACTCCCCGTTTTCTCAGTTGCAGGCGCCATGATCAGCTCTCATTCACGGAAGGGGTGGGCGCCAGTCACGCATTCAAGACCGGAAGACAAAGGGACCCACCATTGACATCTTTCATCCGTACTTTTGTCGGAAAACATGGAATTTTTCCAAAAGCATAGACTGTTGTTTCCTATCACATAAGCTGTCACGCCAGGCAGACACAGCACACATCAGTTTTGCCAAACCTTTAAAAAATACCCCCTTGAAGTTAAATTTTCTTAAAAGTAGCCCAATATTCCTTTTTTGACATTTAGCCCCTTATTCTTCGACGTGCACCATCCTCCACTATTTTTTTTTTAAACTCTAATACGCTTTAGCGTTATATCAAATGATGAGACCTAAGAAAAATCAAAAGAGTGGATCCGTTAGAAGTCATTACGGAGACGACAAACACACAATAATATCGAAAAAGAAAAAGGAAATATTAAATAATATATAAATTCCCCATCAAATTTCACTTTTTACACGATAGGCCCCGTTGCGAAATTTAGATATATTTACACGAATTGGACCGTTAAATATATAATATGATAACCAAGATGAAATTACAAACCATGTAACGATATATATATTTTTTTCTGTTAAAACGGGTACAATAATGAGGACCACAATATCACTACCAAGTAGCAAGCGAGCAAGTGATAATGATATCTAGACAAAAGCTATGTCCGCGTGACCATATCTTATAATCTTTAATTTAACCCTTTAAGCCTTAGATTAAAGTCTCTTGTTGGTCCGTAATGCTGTCAAGTTGTTGTCGTTACAACAACGAACGACCAACTTGATTCGAACGAAATGTAGAGAAAAAAATACAACTTTATTTCAATATATTTTTATGCGTGTTAGCCATATGATAAAAATAAAATAAAAATCATCCTTTGTTAGTGAATTTCATAGGAAAGAATTTTTATAAAAAAAATGAAAATGTTTCGACCGACCTAATCAATCAGTCCTTTCGCCCAAAAAACTCACTTCCTCCGTGCGTAGACGACCAACGAGTACCCGATTCCGCCGCCGGGACAGCCGGGACCGCCGGCGAATCCGCCGCCGTACTCTGCCTCGTCGGCGGAGCTGGCCCACTCGAGCACGGAGGAGCTGCATGCCGACGAAGCCGAAGACATCGACACCGACATCATCGATGATGACGACGAGCTACGAGGCTTCCCTCTCCTCAGGAAGCTTCTCTTCATCTTCTTCCTCCACCCCACGAACCCACACGGCTGCTTCGCCTGCCATAAAACGACGCCGTTCTTCGCCTCCTCCGTCTCCTCCGCCGTGACGGCGACTGGGTCGGTCTCGAATCTGAACATGAACACGGCGTCTCCTCCTCCGTTGCAGTTTCCGTTACCGTTAACGTCGTTGACGGCGGGCTTGTTCTCGAACAGCCAGTTGTAGACGTCCCATGAGATCTGAACAGGAACTCCATCGACTTCGATTCTCTCGTTTCCTCTGAATTTCCATCTCAGGCGCTTGATCTGCAGAACCCTTTTGCTGTCGATTCCGAAACACAGCCTGGCGTCTTCGTTGGCCTGACAATCGATCGAGATCTCTCTGTTTCTCCCTCCGATTCTAGCTTTAGTGCAGAACACTCTGTTCCCGACCACGTGTTCCCTCCTCAAGATCAGAGCCTGGGGGATCGTGGGTCTCCCCGCTCTGGTCCGAGCGTAAGCTTCCTTGACGGCGTCTCCGACCAAGAGACCCATCCCGCCATCGACAACGACGGCGATGTAGAAACCGGATCTGGGTTCAGGTCCGGAATCGAGCTTGACCCGGGTCAAATCCCAGAAAATCTGGACTTTCTGAGAGACGCGCTTGGATCCGCGTCTTCTCCAGAAGGCGAGTGGGTTCAGGTGGAGACGGAAGGAGACGGCGGAGGAGAGGGAGAGATCGGCGGCGGAGGCGGAGAGAGAGAGCGGCGAGGCGGCGGAGGAGTGGGGATAGCAATCTTGGGAGTGGAGGAAGAGATTCACGGAGTGGCCGAAGAAAGTGCGAGCCCACGTGACGTAGAAGACGCCGAGATTCGTCTTGTAGAGGCATGTCGTCAGGTTGGCTTCGCCGGAGATCGCCGGAGGAGGCGACGGAGACGGCGGAGGGGACATTTGGTTTGTGGTAGATTTCTGATTCCGAGGAGTTTGCGTTGCGGTTGGAGAAATGTTTCTGAGGTTCTCAAGGGTTTTTCTTTGAGAAATTTATATAAAATCCGATATTTTCTAACGTAATTCATAAAAAAAAAGGAGAAATCGTAGCAAAAAATAAAATAAAATTAGAAAGAAAAAAAGGAACATATGATTCTTGTAACCCTTCATTGGAGAACATAATGATTGGGAGATGATGCTTGGGGCCAACAAGTTTCACATTTATAATTATATTTGGTTAAAAAAAAGTCACTTCACTTAGAATAAATTGTAAATAATACTATTGTAGTTTTTTTTTACCATAAATATTAATGTAAGTTTTGTGTTATTAGATTATATTTGGAAAAATATTTGATAGGGAGATAGAGTTGCATCTCTCCTTTTTTGGTTAAATACACCTCATATTGTTTTTTTACCAAAAGAATAATTGCATTTCTTTTTTTTTTTAAATTATTTTATATTTTTTAATTTGTATCCTTCTTTTTGGGAAACAAATTTATATGACCCTACGACGGAGTCGAAATATGCAACGAAATACATAAACCACATGAAAACATCAATTTCATTTTATATTTTTTTTTTCGGCTAGCCATTTATTTATTTATAATTATCTTTTCAAGTTATCAGAATGCGTTGGCAGCCAGCTCAAAGGTGGTCGATTGAATGCCACATCTTATGATTATTTAATTTGCTTTAGATCTGAATTCAAATTAAAATAATAATATATTGTTTTTGTTTTTTGGGGCGAAGAAACTGGAACGCAACAATATCAAATCTATTTTGTATCATATGAAATATTAAATATATAGAAACAAAACACATTAATAATATAATTATAAGGTCTCAAATAAATCACCACCGATCAAACGAACAACCATCATCTGTTTGTCCCCATTAATTTTTCAATCTATTTTTCTTTTTCTTTAAAAACTTCACACTTTTCAATTCATGACCTAGATCTAAAGTCTTTTTTGTTGAATAACTAGCTAAAATTTTAAATTTAATTAGAAAGTATTTATAAATTGAAAAAAAAAATAGATTTATTGAAATATTTAAAGAAAACAATTCAGTTTACTTATATTCTAATAACAATTTGGATCCATCGTCTAGGTTAAATAAAATGTTACTGAATTATAAGTTTGATTTATTAGTTTGAATTTTATCTAATATATATATGTATAAAAAGAGACATTTTTTACCAAAAAAAAAAAGTGACGAAGAGGAACAGTTGACTCCAACCGAAGAACAACACGCTTTACTTTTCAACTCAACCCACATTCTAGATTTGCAGGAAGACTTTTCCGTACGGGCTGGCATTTTAGTTTGGTTTGGAAAAACAAATAATCTAAACCAAACTGAATCCAAGCCACATATATTAGGGGTGGTCATTTCAGATTTCGTTTTAGGTTCGGTTCGGTTATATTGAGGTTTGGTTTTCGATTCGGTTATTTTTCGGTTTTGTTCGATTCGAATTCAGTTTTTTATTGTAAAAAAATTAATTTTTCAAAGAAATTATCGATTTTTTAATCGATTCGATTTTGATTTTTTTTTTATTTAAAGAAATCACAACCGTTCGATTTTTTTATTGGATTCGGTTCGGTTACGGTTATATCTTATTTGGTTCGATTTGACTATTCGATCAATAACTAAAATGATTTAGTATATATACAAACCAATATAACATTATGTTTATTGAATTCTAAATTATTAATAAATCAATAGAAGGAACACAATGTTTTAAAATGAAAAATATTAGGTATTTATATAATTCACACCAAATCAATCAATATTATTATACCGATCTAACCGGCACTTACCATTGTTACATGGGAGAAAACCAACCACTCATCTACAATTTTAGATTATATGTGGGGAAAAAAAAGTTAGAGTATTAGATTCTTCATAAAATCTTATCCCCTTTGTCTTCACAGCCAATCAAGTCGGCCCAAATAACCCTAACCGATTACCCGTTGTTGTTAACTTACGACATTTTTCCATGGGAAATTTAATTAATCGAATATTAATTGGTTAGAAAAATTTTCATTTTATAATTCATTCATCGATAATTATAATTTCCTTTTGTTTGTTTTTTCCATCGATGTTTGATCCGCAGAGACTTCAGATCTTGGAGTTTTTCAGATGGGACAAATCGGGATTTTGTACAAATAATGTTTAATTAAAATAATTTAAACTTGGAAAAAAAAGAAACAAGAGATTAATAAAAATAAATACTCTCAACATACGAAACCAAGTTAGGACAAATTTGGTTTGGTTAAGTTTATGTCTGGTTCCTATTTTATAATAATAACAATGATAAAAAAAATAATGTTTATAAATTGAGTTTTAATTTGTGATAACTATAACATAATTTGTTTTAATCAAAATCTAATAAATTTTGATTTGGGTTAGATTTTATATTTGTATATTTGTTACATGTTTAAATTAGTTCAATTATAAAAAAAAATACTAAATTGAAACCGAACTAACATATATTCTCAATGAACACGTAGAAAGAAACCAACATGACAATTTTGGATTTAACTGATACACTACGACGACGAATTTGGGGTTTCCGTGATTTTGAAGTTGTTTGTTAAGAAGTCTAATCCATAATTAACCAGTAATCTATGGACTAATCCCAAATTTGATCGTCAACACTTAGTTAATTAACTTGATTGTTAAGCATCAGATAACATACAAAGAAAACCTCTCATTTGACAATTCGGCTTATTAAATCGCCTAATTTTCCAAGACTTTACTTGCATTGTTAACCTCTGTCTTTATAATATACACACACCCACACAAACATATATATATATATATATATATGTATAATAATAATCGAAATTGTAAAATAGTCATCTTATTATTTAATCTATCCTCGTGGGCCGGATTTTATTTGTATTAATCAGATTTATTTAATGTGCCAATGTGGATATATTGATACCTTGAGGATATTCTTCTAACTTTGTTTCAGTTCAATGTACAAATCTTAATTCCCGTTCATGAATATGATTTTAATCTTTCTTAGTTAACAAAGAGAAAAAAAAAACAATATGATTTATGATAAGGATCTAATAAAAAGTTTAAATTTATTCTCAGAATCTATTTTAAAATGCAACAGCCATCATAAATAATGTGTAATATATTTTTCTAATTTATGTAATTTATTTGTTGGGTGACCAAAAAAATTCTCAATGGTGTGATTATATTTTGATTAAACCTGAAAATAGTGATCAATCTAATCACTTCATATCCATGTGCCTCTAGGCCCATTTTCTTAAAACATGCCCTTTTGTTTTAGCCACTGAAATCCATAATGTGCACATAATATATATATATATATATATAATGGGTCTATTTAATCGATATATTTAATCTAATATACATTGACATGCCCTAATGCAGAAGGAAGAGGATGTTTGCTGAATTAACCATGTATAAAATATGACCAAATAAATCATTTTGGCACAATTTTTATAGAACCGAATAAATCATTTTCAAAATTAGTCCGACAAATACACCCAAACCGTCCAACCCTAGGTTCAATTACCTCGCAAGCACATTCCCTAGTCAGCATTGGACAGTTCGAGTTTCATTCGACGAGTTACAAAACTTACAACTCATTCAATGAGTTCACAACTTCACATTCCAACTGAGTTACAGAATCCGAGTTACAACTTTCTTTCATTTATTCAATCACTCATCTCCTACGAAGCTAATCTACACAACTGAATTATGTGACCAATCGTTTCACTACTATACTTACCCTACAGCTATAATGGAGGCAAAAGGGTTTTGCCTCATCAAAGAGACATGGTGGAGATCAACACAGTGAAAGAAGCAGTCCATGAACTTGCTTCACATACACTCCTTGTGAGCTCTAAGAACATGACTGAAGAACGATGATGTTGCTTCTCGTTATGCATTTCTGGTTGGTTTTGATTTACTACTGAGAGATCATTCTTCCTGTCTAATAATGACGCACTAGAAGATGGGGGAAATGGATATGACATAAGGAATCGACAGAATCCGAGAAACACGCACAACAATTCAGAGATTAACCCAAAACTACATTGGCAATTTGAAAATTCAAAAACAAAGTCAAGAACGTAAACGCGAAATCTAACAAAGAACCTGATGCTCAGAATCCGAGCTTCGTACGGCGCCAGTGCCTGCGTTTCGCGTTGTACCTGAATAACACGCCGATTGAATTGCAGGATAAGCGTCTCCGATCACCATCGCACGGAAATTTCAGGAAAAAATCAGTTCAGAATAACGAAGCACCTGATGGTGTTGTCAGTACGGAGACGGATCCAGTGAGGGATCGGTCGGTTCTGCCTCATTTTCTTCGCCAATTTCTTCTTGATCCTGAAGGTCTTGTGTGACGGCTGTTCAATTCCCCACGATTTTCCCGACAACCAAACAGAAAAAGGTAAAAGCGTCACGAAGAGAAAACATCAGGATTCTCATACATCACTATTTCTTACTCGTACGAGAGAGGGATAGAGAGAGAAAGAGGTAGCACGACGTACCATTTTGGCCTCCTAATTATTCTGCCGCCGTGGGAGAGGAGACACGATGAAAGAAACCCTAGAATCGGCAGAGACCTTGAGAGAATGGAGAAAAAAAAGGGCTTTTATACCTGGGAAGATTCTCACGCACATTTCCTCATGGGCTCATCGTTTATTTATATGGGCCCACTTGAGCCCAATGTAATAACCCTAAATCTCTGGGCTATTCTTGTCGATCTTAAAATTGAGAAAGTACATAATAACTATTTTCCGGAATTGATTAAAATGTTTATTTTGCGAATCAATTGATAGTCTCTCTCTCTCACACACACACATATATACACATATATATATATATATATATATATATATATATATATGGATAAACAATTTGAGTGTAATTAGCTGATAGCTACACCTTAAAAACCTCTCTATATCTGCCGTAATGTACTGAACCGAATTATACCAACTGAAATTCAGAAACCAAACCGGTTTTCCAAACCAACCAAAAAGTCTCTCTGAACCAATTGAAATTCATCCACTTAAACAGTTCGAATTTACAGGAAAACCCCAAAAAGACGGTTCGGTTAGAGCAAACGGTGGAGTAAACCGGAAGTCAACGATGGTCAACGGAGGAGGCAGTTCTGAGAGTGCCACCGAGCTCCATAGGGACGAGAGGGATAAGAGAGTGCAAAACGTCTCTGATCAAAGGCCTGTAACTTGGCTCTGGCTGTACACACAACACCGCCACTGCAGCTACCTGCATATTTTCACGTATTTCCACATCATTCCCCACAAATTCCACATTTTGCAGAAGAACACCCCTATAGTTTCTAATGTCAAAAACCACCTCCTTCTCTCTCGTAATTCTCTATTTCATGGATATTTTCTTCGACTAAAGTCCCTAATCTACTCCAAGCCCAAGCCAACATTCTTTCCGTTTATCTTACATACTGATTCTCCATCAAAATGCACCCTAAAGATAGTAAATTTCTGAGACTTTTGGATACTTTGGCAGCTGTAAAATCATGGGTTTTGTTTCATATTTTCATACGACGCATCGAGTGATTAGGTTCTACGCCGAAAACGTAAATGTTTAAGAGAGGTTTAAGTGTAAACAAACCTGGTAGAGGTGTTTCAAGTCCATGGTGTCTTTGATTGCAGGGTCGACGACGTTTGGCAGCTTTGTTCTGTCAGTGAGATGAGGCATTGCCTGTAGAGATCAAAACAAAACAAAAAACATGAAAGATAGAGACATTGTAGTTCAAATCCTCATACATGATACGGAAATGTCATGTTTTAAAGGAACTGGTAAAGACATTTGCCTCTGGTTCAGGCCAGTGTTTTGATGTTATTGTGGGTGTTTGCAGTGAAACACAGCCTTAATTGTTTGACAGACACCAAAAATAGTATGGCGGAACACGGGTTTCAGCGATGAAAACCGGCCGTTGAAGAAAGTGAAACACTTTTTGCATTCGGGTATTCTCGTAAAGGTATCTTCCGGATTATGCCAGAACCCGGGTTTCAGTAACTGAAACCAGCTGTTATCGAAAGTAAAACACTTTCTTGCCCTCGGGTGTATCCGTAAAGTTATCTTCCAGGATTACAAAAACAGCTTAAGAGATTGAGGTTGAGATGTAACATACCCAAGTGACAATAGATTGGCATTCAGTGGGAGCCAGTTTCTCCATAGGCCTTCTTCCGAGCAAAAGTTCTAACAGTACCACTCCAAATGCATAAACGTCACTCTTCTCCGTCAATTGGCCTACACACACACACACATGAGAGAATAACACATCTAAACTTTCCAAGCATATGACCAGAAAAGGGTGTTCTTGGTGAGGATGTATCATATTTAGGCTTACCATCAAGAAGATACTCCGGTGCAACATAGCCAATGGTGCCAGAAAGTTTAATGTTGTTACTCTTTGTACTGCTAGTAACAGCCAGCCCAAAATCTGAAATCTAGATAGGAATAAACGTATTTATTAGACGAAGGAGTAAACAATATCTCAAGATTCTCGGTAATCTAATAGGAGTTCTTTACCTTAGCATTGAAACTCGAATCCAAAAGTATGTTAGACGTCTTCAGATCTCTATGAATGATCGGCGGATGGCAATACTCATGCAAATACTCTAACCCTCTAGTTGGAAAACCGTAAATTCTGGTTAACAGCTAAAAATGGAATGTAGGGTCTAAATCAAGACACATTATTTGGAGGATGAGTGACAAAATCAAGATAAAAGGTTTGATCCTTGACTCAAGATACCAACACTCACCTCGATGTATCAAGGGCTATCTTCATGCGCATATGCCATGTTAGGGCAGAACCTCGAGAAGGACCTGAGAGAGAACAGTTAGTGTTTTTCCTTACGACATTCCCGAGTTTTCATGATGATCAAGATGCTGCAAGCATAGAACAAGTAGAATAATGTGAGAGTGTTGTCTTTTACCATGCAATTGAGATTCAAGAGAGCCATTTTGCATCAGCTCATACACGATGAATCTCGTGGTATCGGTCATGCTGTAACCCAAGAGTGATATTATACTCGGGTGCTGCATCTTTCTCAATATCTCGACCTCGTTCTGCAATGCCCAAAAGAGTAACCAAAAAAGTTTTTTTTTATGCACATACTGGAATCTTATATGAGACCACAAGTTTCGAACTTCTTAGAGCTCTTGCAAACATGTTGTAGAAATGGCAACCCAAATACAAATTGTGGGGTAAAACAAGAATCAATACAAGGCTTAGGATTCAGATGCTTTCACAGGTTTGATCTTAGTAAATGCAAAAGCGACAAGACAGCATCTGTTACCAAACATAGAAACAAGTAACAAGAGATACAGAGAGCAAAGAGGATTGTACCTTGAACTCACTAGTCGCTTCTTCAGTGCCACAATCCAACTTCTTAACCGCAGCTAACACATTGTTTTCTAGCTTAACCGTATATACACAACCAAACCCACCTTGACCGAGGATGTTTGTCTCCCTGAAACTACCTGTCCCCTTTTCAATTGTCTCGTAATCAATCATCAGCTCAATCGTCTGCTTTTTAGATCTCTTCTTGAACGGTTTTGCACAGCTCGTTCGCTTTAACAACCACGGCAATGCTATTCTACTACCCTCGCAATCTTCGAACCCTCAAACCAAAACGACTTGAATTAGAACAAGGCCAAGAAACTGTTGAACTATGATCATACATAGGAAAAAGTAATAACCCCCCCCCCCCCTTAATATTGAAATGCCTGAATAAAGATTCATCAATCTTTTAAAACTGATCAACACCGGTCAAGATGACTGAGTACCTGAGCTGTTGAGGCTCTCTTGCTTTGAATTCGAAGAGCTTTTCCGATGGAAAACCCAATAGAACAGAGAGCAAACCAAGACTATACCAACTGAAGCAAAAGCAGCTGCAAGTGCAGTTACTACTCTCTTGTGAGTATCCACATTATGCAATCCAGCTTCCCCAGGTTGAGCCCCTGTTCACCACAACACACAAGCATTAGTTTCTTCCTGTTCCAACCAAATGGGTAGACAAGAATATTCTCCAGATCGAAGAACAGCGGAATTACAATCAGACCCAGATGAAGAAGTGACAATTCTCAGATGGGCAAAACGGCAAATCCTCGGATGGAAGAAAATGGTCGTTTCTCTTTAGCTAGCGGAAGAAGAAACCTATTGATACACGGAAATTCTGGGGAAAAGTTTGAATCTTGAAACATGAAATGAACAATATCATGAAGGAAATCATAGTATACGGACAAAATTCCAGAGAAAAATCATGTTTGTTTAACCAAATGGTTCAACGCAAAACCTCTTCCAAATGGAATAACAATTGGATTTTCTTGAGACCCAGAAGAGGAAATTCATAGAAAACCGGAAATTCCATGAAAACTTAAGGATGTGAATCCAGAGAGACAGGAAAAAGCCCAGAATTTTATCACATTTATTACACGGGAATGTTTTTTTTTCTTTCGAATTTGAATTCTTTCTCAACTTAGTACTCCATAAATTCAAGGTGGAACCAACATATTACACCCTATATACGAAAAATAAACTACAAAAAAAAAGTATAAGGGAGAAGAAAGAGAGTGCAATACCAGGAGATAAGGCATCCATGGAAGCTGAAGGTTGAGGAGCACGAGATTCTTCTGTGGCTGAGAAGACAGCGCATGTGGATTGACGAAGAGCAGAAGCATGAAGCAGAACAAGAATCGTAAGGACAAATCCCCTCATCTCTCTTTATTGTCTTCACTAAATCTTGTCCTTTTTTTGTATCTTTCAAAAACCCGTGAGAAAAAAAATGGAAAAGATTTCCAGACAGAACTTCTTATTGTGGGTCCAGAGAGAAATTCAATGGAAACTGAGAACGTCCTTTGCTTCAAAAAGTCTCATCCTTTATAACGCCATTGTTGTGAAGCTCTCTGCAAGAAAGGGCAAAAGGAAGAAGACAAACGGAGCAGAGCCATAAAGAAAATGTAAAATTTATGTTTGGAAATGGAGCAGTTACAAAAAAGGATCTGAAGCCCTTTTGCTCGAAAAAATGAAAATATCTTTTCAATTACGGTCTACATCGACAGGAATATATGTACGTACATACATATATGCCGACAAACACGGAGAATATTAGATGAAATTGTTTTTTTATAATAATGTTTTTTGTAATTTTGGTCTGAATAGTTATACATGTACGAAACCATACACACTTGCATGCTTATGAGTAATCCACTGTAGAATATATGACATGCAACAAATACGATATTTCATTTTTTTAATCTAATTTTGAAGTACTTGAAACAATATATATATATATATATATATATATATAAAGGCTGCAAAAAGTTAGTTTTATATGCTTTTCACATTCTCAAAAGCGGGTGTGCATGGAAATCGAGATTTACGAAATTAAGAAAGGAGGTTAATGGCATAACCTTTTGTAATAGATTTTATAATTTGATTAATGAAATAAATGCATTTGGGAAAATGCAGTTCCCATGTCCATTCATGGTCGGTGGCAATATTAATCATATGATTGACCCTTGTGAGTTATAATTATTTTCTGAAAATTACATTACAGTGATTAAAAATCGAATTTTTAATTGAAATGTTAATACATATATTAGACACTAAACTTTACAATGATTATGTAATAATTTAATATAATTTTTCTACAATATGGTTCTTATAGAATGTTATTGTGCTTCAAACTCGATTCTCTGATTGAATTAAAATATTTATCTAAGAATTATATGATTAAATTAGACGTTATAAATATCGTCATTAAATTTACTCATATATATTGTACAATATACTATAACATATCATATCTATTTTATCGTATCACAATGATTTTAGAACATGGAAATATTTCGAATATATTTTGTGCGTGAATTTATATTCAATTAAGGGAAAGTCGCATATAAATACCTGTATTTTTACAATTTTTTAAATAAATACCTGAATTATAAAATTATTAAATAAATATCTAAACTTTTCAAAATTTATATATAAATATTCAATTTTTAAAAATTTATAAAAGAAACAATATTCGCTTATGGCTAAATTAATAATTATCGATAAATTATGTTATAAATTTAATATTGTTAATGAATTTTGGTTTCATTTGACAAATTTTTAAAATTTTGGGCTGCTCTTCAAGGAGTTGCTTTTTCTTCGTCCTCTAGTGGATTTAGTTGTTTTCAAATTATTCTCACACATTAAATTAGATAATTTTGATATATTAGTAATTCGTAGTTAAATAACTATCTTTTTTATGCAATAAAAAAGCAATAATTACTCGCAACGCCTAAAATAAGCGAATTGAATCGAATTTACCACAAGAATAAGTTTTACTATATACAAAATCATTGTAACTATGAAATCACAAACTGAACATCAATTGGGTCACTTGGCTTTGACTATTGGTTTAAATTGAATAACCATTTTTTTTTTAATTCCAGTCTCAAGTTTTTTTTTTGGTTATTCCTTGATTTTTTTTTATTTAAACTATAGACAAATGTCACATGTTAGGTGAACAGTTGGGTTGTCCCAATAAAATTAAAATATTTTCCCTCCCGAACCGAATCCCCAACTGCCATTTCAGTGCACTGACTTATTTATATAAATTACAAAATAAGATTGATAATACTGAATTAAATGAAAATGAAAATGTAAATGGCATTGATATTGGTTTTTGCACGTAGAATAATATGTCCAACTACCAAGAACCAAGTAATGGGCCGGGAGCAAGTCTTCACTTCAATTTTTTTTCCATATTTTTTTACATTGTTATATTTTTAATTCTATCAGTTTCTTATTAAATTTATTTTAAATATATTAAAATTTTATTAACATAATTAAAATTTATCAGGAAAAAAATATATTTTATTTATATAATTAAATACGTGTTACGAATGAAAAATATTATTTTTGTGATTGTATTATATATACATTATAATTTGTTTGCGTTGGGCACAAATTGTGTTTAAGGAACTAGGCCTAATCTTTTCATAATTTGGGCCCATTTTGCACTTTTGTCCATTTTCAGAAATAAAATGTTTTTTCTTCTTCATAGAATAGCTTTATAATTATAACATACGATTTTAAGAAACTACATCATGAGATATCTCGTGACGAGATATATATAAATAATTATTTAGATAAATCTTTCCCAATACCAACAGACAAGAATATAATTTTAGGGGAAAACGGTTAGATTTTTTTTTTTAAATGTATTATTGAAATATGTTATATTTTAAATATTCATTTTACTATGCATATTTAACACATTTTCTGTATTAGTATCAAAATATTATAAAACTATCAAAACTAAACCATTGTAAACAATTAAAATTATATCGTATTAATAAATTCAAAAAAATACAACATTTAAATACATAATACCAAAAGTTTTAGTATTAAAAACAAAAATTTTAAAAATTTTAATATTTGAATAAGAAAATATAGAAAAACTGATTTATTTTTACATTTTGAATCATTCATATAATTTTTTTAATATATTTTAATACCTAATATTTTTCTCTATTTTAAAATTAGCAAAAATAACGAATATTAGATGACGTTGTCCCATTTATATAAAACAATTAATCAGGACTTAATATACGTTGAAACTAAAACAAGTTTAATAACTAAATTTAAATATAATCTATGTAATTTAATTAATTATTATATCATGAGGTTAAATGGAATATATCATTAGATTCTTAAATAAAATTTAAATATAAGAGACAATATCTTATATAAATTTATTAAATTAACATTTCAAAAGTAAATACTATTTAATAAAATTAGAAAATACGCAATATAAATTTTATGAGAAATAAAAATAACAAGTCCATCAAATACTGTTATAGAATTATTAAAAATCAAAATAAACTGAGTTTATCGAATAATGTTTTTGATAACTAATAAATTGAAATTGTAAATATTTTTTGTCTTTGTTTTAGTAATCACAGTAAAAACTTCAGTTTAATTATTGGTTTAATATTAAAAATGGTAATAATTATGGATTATGGGCTGGGCTGGGCTAGGCCTTGAGCTTATTACAGAGCCCATAGAGGAAGGTCTGGAGTTTTTCGCCCAATAAACAAATGGAATAGTGTCAATGGCCACGTCATAATGGGACCCACTTAATTCTCCCACATCTACACACGTACGAGTATTTATATTACTCTAAAATATATTTATAATATAAAATTAATCACATTAAAGGATCAACTGCAGGACGTATATAATATCTCATCATCTGTCTACTTCTTTTTCCTTCCTCAGCTTTTCTTTTTCCTCTCCTTCGCCACCATCTCCCTCTCTCTCTCTCTCTCAGGGCGCAGGATCTTTCGCTGTACTTTAGGGTTCTTCTTGGTCTTTCATCGATTCAGGAGTGGAAGCGGAGAGGCAGAGGCTGGCGGCGATGGTGGCAGCAGCGGCGGATGACTGGATGCGGTCGGCGTTGAGAGACGGCGAAGTGGTGGCGGATATGCTGCTGAGACTGAAGGAGGCGAAAGTGACGCCGACGGTGTTCGAAAATCCGGCGGTGACCGCGCTCCGTTGGGGAATCCGGCAGCCGCGGTCCCGGCCCCCG